ATATACTGTATCACGAACCGGAACAGACCATGTACTATATACCGGGACAACTGCTGTACTGTATAGATAGTACAGCTGCTGAGTGCTGTACTACGGTGGTCCGCCTAGGGTCCAAAGTGGCTCGCCAGCTGTTCCACTGCCTGGGTCGGTAGGCGTACGTTACAATTTAGGACTCTATGTCTATCCGACCGTGCGAGGACAGAGGGCGTTCCACTAATCTCTCAGTGCACCTAATGTATTTATTACCACCTACACCCCAGCCTGCAAAGTGTTGTGTATACAAAAATAAAAAATAAAGTATCGTATATTTTCAATTGCTTCGACCACCCATGCGTAAAGTTTTAATTGCTTCTGTCTCAAAAAAGCAAAAAAAAATATTTTTGAGAAGAAAAATTGGCTTATCTTTAATAGGTGATAACACAATAAATACGGAGCACTTCGAATCGCTTCTACCGCCAATGAACTGCTTTTGACCTCTTCTTAATTGCTTCGGTGAGTTTGATAATAGCTTCGTTAATATAAATAATTTATTGATATAAATTGGATTTCCAGTAATAATCTAGGAAATAACTGTGACATGCGCATGCGTGAATGTCAAATACTTAGCATTACTATTATTACTAATTACAAATACTTGACAGTCACGCATGCGCATGTCACAATTATTTCTTAGATTATTGCTGGAAATCCAATTTCTATCAATAAATTATTTATATTAACGAAGCTGTTATCAAACTCACCGAAGCAATTAAAAAGAGGTCAAAAGCAGTTCATTGGCGGTAGAAGCAATTCGAAGTGTTCCGTATTTATTGCGTTATCACCTGTCAAAGATAACCCAATTTTTCTTCTCAAAATTTTTTTTGTTGCTATTTTGAGACAGATGCAATTAAAACCTCACGCATAGGTGGTCGAAGCAATTGAAAATATACGACCCTTTGTTTTTTATTTTTGTATACACAACACTTTGCAGGCTGGGGTGTAGGTGGTGTATTTATTACACCAGTTGGAATACGCTTCATTCAAAGCAGACAGCAGACTGTTTTTGTTTACTGAGAGAGTTGTTGACACTTAGCGTTTCAGCGAGTGTTATGGAAGCATGGAAATGCGTTGCGTAAAAACTCAAAGGTTTTGTCGTATTTTGGCATCTTGGATTAATATAAGTTTATACAAATTTACTATAACATGAAGTATTGTAAGTGATTTTGTAACTAAGTTTTTAGAAAAGGTTAAATTTTTATATACCTATGGATACTCAGAAAATTAAAAAATTCTTTCAAAATACTTGTGCTTGCATACATACATCAAAGTGATCCTCAAACAGTGATTATTTTTTCTCAATTTTTTTTAACGGGTTGTTTGAGACGACTAAAGAAAATCTTTGATTGATTCTTCGCTGTAGTATTTGTACATCCTAGCACAAAACAGTACTTGTACCAGTTAGAATTAGAATTAACTTCTTTTTCGTTCATTTTCCAATCATTTGTTAGTTGACAGTTGTACGTATAACCTTATTTATATACCTCGAATCAAATCATCCACATAAACAAGCAGACGACACAGCTGGTGTCTGCTTTCTATAGCATAGTTTATTCGACTTCAAAGATCTAGAAATGTGCCGTAGCTTGCCTGACTGCCTGTGCAGGTCCTGCACAGGCAAGATAGGCATTTTATGCATATGTGAGTTCAGGCTGTGCACAGTTCCTGAACAGGTCCGGTGCTCTTGCCTAAACTGACATCAACTGTCTGCTACTACAGTATATAGTCTTAACCTTTTTTTCAATTAATCTAAAATGGAGCAAAACCATTATTCTCGACGAAAGACGCGAAACAAATATAGAATGCAAATTATTCGTAAAAGAAAAATTTCGGAAAAAAGAAAACCAAACGGATGTAACGGAAATAATGAAAAAAAGCTAAACTTACAGATAATATTAGTGAAAACTCAGCTGTACAGTTTGATAAGCAAGAAATTCAGAGCGATATTCAGCAAGAAATTTTTGAAGAATTAAACACAACCAATGACAGTGTAAGAAGAAAAAAAAAAAATAAGTGTCAATATTGATGAAGTTCGTGATTTGTATGTACAACTTCGGAAATGGAAAAGAGAGTGTTTTATTGCAAATAGCCACATGGATAAACTTTTAAAAATATTGCAATATCACATTCCCATCTTACCTGTTTCCCATAAAACTTTACTGAAATCAACTTCTCTGTTTAAAAACATTTTTTTATGTAACATAACCTTACTATTTAATTGTGTAAAAGTCAGTTCAGGACTAGATTATATTTGTCCAGGTTGCCTGAGCTGAGGCTGCCTGTACAGGAGCCTGAGCAGGTCCTGTGCACATCGTTGGATAAAATTCCATTAATGCCTGAGCAGGTCCTACGCAGGCAGCTCAGGCACCTGTCCAGGATCTGTTCAGTGCCTGAACTCAATTTCTGTTCGGGTCTGCATCATTATATAACGAACAATCCCACATAATTCAGAAGTTCCTACGTCATGATCACGTGACATCGATTTAAATTAGGTGTGGAATTTCAATAAATTATTGTACATATTTCAAAGCCTTAAAAAAACTGTCTGGCAAGTTTACTCGAAGCATTTTCAGCTANAAAAAAAAAAAAAAAACTTTCTGGCAAGTTTACTCGGGGAATTTTCAGCTATTGAAAAAAAATTAAATCAGAGAACATGCAAGTTCTCTATTGTGGAGAGTTCTCGATAACCGGTTCTGTGTGATCGGGGATATATAAGATATAAAGCGAATATAAAAAGACATGTAATGACACCGAAAAATAAGAGAAAAATGTGTAGTGACATAATGATATGATATACTATGTTGAAAAATGATTTAAAAAATATTAATGAATAAAAACAGTAAAAAAAAAAAAAGAACTATACATGTACAATAATAGTTATGTGCCGCTCAAGGAGTGCCCTGATCTTATTATGTGAAATGTATAAACTGATATATGCATGTACACAGGTTAATGATTTTTCGCTACAATTATATTAAACAAAATGCAAAATTATTTTTGTATTATTTTGTTCAGTTCCTTTTCAGAAACATACGTTGTTTTTACTTAAAACATTTTGTGCTGATTGAAATTTTTTTGAATCGACTTGATTCAACCTTTTACAGCAGGGTATAAATATATAATCTGTATAGATTTTCTATGCTCTCGTATCTTGTACACTTATAGAAGCGCGGATACTCGCTCGTCTCAAACGTTGTGTTTCATGTACTACTGAATGACGTCCTCTACTTACGAAAGAAGCTGATTAAAACTATCGACCTTGATCTATGAGCACACCACAACACTCTCTGATTCTCATAGATTTCCTTCCCCCGCATTTATTACAAGTTATTATGTATAATAAAGCTTTTACTCAACAACTACACCCGACTACACCAACACATTAATGAAATAGAGTTAATAAATCGTGAATAAACGGAGAGATCTGAGAGAGTTGTTATTGACATTGATACATAAGTCAGCTGGTAAGTATATAGATATAGGCAGTAAAAAATCTAAACGGTTGAGTTGAGCTGCGCTGCAATATGCAATATTGGAAAAATAAATACCTACTCAGTACGCCAGCGTATAATGAATGCATTCGTCACAATCGTCACAGCTATTTATTATTGCGTAAAAAATATACATATATATATATATATATAATACACCAACAAAATTTGAGTGATACAATATTTACTTAGTTGTATATTTTACAACAACCTAAAATTTTTTTTCACATGTACCGGCCTTCTGTATATAATATTTATACGCTCGTTTACGCTATTTAGTACTGCCAAGAGCATCGCTTGTAGATGTATTTTTCGATTTTATTCATACCTCTTCTTGAAATATTCAGATATAATTTGTTATAAGTAACAATTAATTTATGTTTATGTATAGAAAAATTGATTCTTACGAACCGTGTACATTGCTCACAGATAATTTTTTGACCTTCCGTACCCGATTAACTATTGCAACATTTGGCCAATTGACTTGAAAATAAATATTTACCTAGCGTATAGAAAAGTCCGTTAAAATCAAACGAAGTTTTCAGGTAAAGGAAAAAAACACGTTTATTGAAAATATGTACACTCACCGTACCTTGATTCGCAAACCGCGAAGTTTGAAGTCTTAAATTTTTTTATGACAAATAAATATGAAATATGATTTTAACATTGTTCAATAGTTGTTAATATAATAGTTGTTTATCGTTATATTTTTACTTTATTGTTATGGTTGTTCCTCATGTTTTAATACGATAAATTACTTCAAAAATTCAAACATCGCGGTTTGCGAACCAAGGTACGGGTGAGTGTACCTTTTTTTTATATTACAAAGTACTGACCTACTGTGGGTATGTACACTTTCTTTATTCATTTCACATTTATATTGATACTTTATATTTATATCTCCCCGGTCGCGCAGGAACGTTAATCGATAACTCTTTACAATTCTTATTTATCAATCGTTTATTTCTTCTTATATTTTTTTTTTCATCTTAGATCTAAAAGCATTATCCTAAGTCGGTTTCATCGATTCGATACCCATGCAGCAAGAACGATTAGAAAAAATCTGAGGGCCCCGACTGCCAATAACTCATGACCCCTTGAACTGTGTTGTTAATCGTATACTTTCTCATGGACGCTCTTCTCTTTTTTTGTTATTTTTCGAGCGCTCATGTGAAAAGTGGGCAACAAACGCAAAAGATAATAATAGTCATTAGTATAGATATAGATGTACATACATACACGATAGTGAATAAGACTCGGAGTTAATATGAGTAACAACTTTTTCGCACCATACAGTTCGCGAATCGTAATATTATAAGATGTATGTATATAGATATTGTCAATTATCGCGATATTCGCGACTCGCAAGTCGCAACTTGCGCGCGCACGAGTGTGGTAGAATGCCGTGGCCATAGCAGTATAGCAGCGGTGGCATATCCACAGTGAGTGTGAGTGGGCAATGGGCAATGTCAATGTACATGTTCGCGCCGGCGCGACCAGTCACCCGAGAACCCGAGCTTATAAGAAAGATTGCGCACGAGCTTGGCTCACGAGAGAGCTTTTCGACGTTTTCGTTGTCCTTTGTCAGTTATAATTCTCGTGCACACTGTGATTGTCGTTCGAATCATCCCACCGTGTCCTATGTAATTACGTATTATAGATAAATTTGTGGTTGTCATTTCCGTGGTGTCAACGCGACGACATATTCCTAAACGATAATCGGCTCTGAGATAAGGTATATCGTGCGAGTATCTTGGGTATACCTCATACAATATATACATTTTTTTTTCTTTGAGTTTCGGGTAAAGCTGACTTACTGTAGATTCACGGTCACGAGTGTGTCAATCATAGCACAAAAAAAAAACCTGCGTAGAGTAAAATATTGTTACGAATACACAGGTAATTACGGCAGTCAAATGCAGCGTACTAGAAGCAACAATACTAGCTCCACCAGTAGCAGTAAAAACCACAATAAAAGCAATAGTGACAGCAGCACGTGCAGACAACAGCAGCAGCAGCAGGTTTTAGAGCATCGTCGTCATCGTCGTTGTGGTCCAGCCGTTTACTCTTAGAACTGACCCCTGCTGCTTCAGCTCTGGAAAAACGAGAACGAGTATAGTTTTACTGTTCAGTAAATATAGATTATTGAGCTGTTATATACGCTCATTAAACTATACATGTTGACGTCGTCGTCTGCTCCATCGCATAAGCTGCGTGCGAAGAGTTGAATGTTGTTAAGGCCACAGCTCGGACGACGGCTGCATGTGTTTTCCGGAGCACAGCTGAGCAATTCGCGCGCTATTACTTGCAGTAAATCAAGAGGGAAAGAGAGCGACAGGGATAGTGTGAGAGTCAAAGCAGTAAAAGACAGCAAAATATATTAGAAAAAGAGAGCGCGCGCGGGTGAAATTTTTCCTCTCTATACTTGAGCATTCCGTCCCGCATACTGCAACAGCGCAGAGCAGCAACAGCCACCCCAGCAAAATGGAGCAGAAGAGAATCTACAAACTCGTGCTCACTGGAGGTCAGTCTTTTATTTGTATTCGTAATTTTTTTTTTTCTTCTTATCTTCAATCCTTTGATTTGACATAATTATGATCATAAAGATTCACATTTTTTTGGGAGCTATAAAACAGCCCTCTGTAAATAGTACATCTACGTGTAACCTCAAAGGAAAAGTCTTGTATTACGGGCAAAGGAAATACGAGAGCGCTCTGTGTTTCTCTCCCACGTGCTTCGCGCGCACACACACAACTTATATATATACAGATGTGTAATGTACCTATTAAAAATCGCTACTGTAGAACTGCAACAGCATAAGGAAGCAATACGGTAAATCTTCTCCCTTTTTATTTGTCATTTAGCTCAAGAGACATAAACACTTTTTTTTATGGTTAATCATAGCCCTAGGGTTCAGGCGTAGCTATTTTGACACATCATAGTGAATTTAGCCATGCGGTGTAGTAACTCGCGAGAAATTATATTGATGAGGGTTCGAACCGTGGGAGTTAACGTTGGGTTATTGAAGAATCCAATTCTCACTTAAAAAAGAACTTCATATTATTTATTAGAGGAAATTTTTGTCTAGCTGCTTATGAGATATACTAGTATCGTTCACACCTCTCATGAGGTCAGAACCTTAAATACAAACAAAAAAAAATATACTAGTGCCATAAAACTTTTTATATTATAGTGCACTGATTTCGGAAAGGTATATACACTGCTATGTACCGTACAACTAGTAGGTATTTTTGCTCGAGCTGATTTTTTTTGGGAGAACGTGATATGGGATATGGTTATCCCGTCAACCCGGTATCACGACACTCCCGACTGACATAAGACGGAGGTCAAATAGCTTAGCATATTGATTTTTGCCGCATCTCTTGTAGATAATAATAAGTGAGTAGATGGGTGGACACCAGTAGAAGCTCATTATACGCAGTTAAATCTCTTTGCAGAACGTGCCTATACCTTTTCCGGCTGAACAGGCTAAGATTGGATTGGTGATGTAGTAATGTTGCTGTGCAATTATATGGCGTTTTCCAATAAATCAAATAAATCCTCTTGACGTGTTTGCAATCACGAAACGTGTGTATATATAGATCATCCTACGAAAACTGCATATTTTGAGGGCCAGAATGGACAAACACTTAAAATGGATTTTTAATTTTTAAAAAATTTCTTTGTGTTTTCCTTGACCAAAACAAGCAAAAACTAATAAATCTCATTACACTAAGATAAAGGCGCTAGACTTTATTCTCAAATTTATATTATTTACTTACCATTAACATTTGTGTAAGTCTCTATCCAAGTCGATAATCCAACATTAAACAAAGCTACAATTCGTTTTGCATCGTTACGAGATAACGTTGCGGGTCGCGGGCTCTTATCAAAAAAAGGAGCGTTACTTAAAAGCTCTTACAAATTTGCTGAAAAATAAAGATTTTAACTCACCAAATGTAAATTAAACTTCGCTTTTACACTTATATTGTGTACTGAATATCTACATTTTAACCTGTCATGTTCGGAGTCGATAAAAAAACGCTTCGAAAAGGTACGTGGCATTCCTTACGGGTTTTTTTGAAAAAGAAGCGTTAGAAGTAGTTATAAATGCATCGAAAAATTGATATTGTAACGCACCAAATGAAACTTCACCAATGCACTTATATTTATTATATACAAAATAGCTATATTTTAATCCACCACCTTCCCAGTCGATAACCGAACGCTTCACAAAGATAAATGATATTCTTTAGTGTTACGTACTCTTGGTTTTTATTTTAGGAAGTTCAAATTTACAAATTTGTGAACCTGTAACACTGGCTTATCGGAAATGGAAAAATTGGATAAAATTTCTGCAACATCCTCGACCTCTTTAAAATACAAAACGTCTTAATTGGAACGCCAAAATTTAATTGCGCGAATTTGTGAGAGCATTTTCCGTTGAAATGTTAAGTTTGTCTGTTTCGGTCCCACCACATATTTAAACAGTACCCGAATTTTCAATAAAAATTTTTTTTGGTTCTCTAAAATGCGTAAAAATCTTATTTACGCTAATAACTTTGAGATTTCATGTCTTAGAAAATTAAAAAATTTTAGAATTGTCGACCCGCAACTTCCACAGCATCGAAGTCTTAGATCCAATGTTATTGAGTTCTGCAAAATACATAAATATCTTATTTACGCTAATAACTTTGAGATTTCATGTCTTAGAAAATTAAAAAATTTACCCATTTACCCCTCTGACAATGGAAAATTTCAAGATCTTTGCTCTCAAAGTTTGCACATTATACACAACCTCTACCAAAGCAACGTGAAAATATTATATTTTGTTACATATTAGAACATAACTTTCCAAAATATACATAACCCTGGAAAAATTCGAGATTTTCTGTACAGTATTGATCAAATCGTTGTATTAGCATACAGTTATACACATACATACATAATAGTGCTTGCACATTACACTTATAGCAGTGATACCAACCAACCCAATTATTTTCGGGCTGGTACCAGTGCTTGCTGGAGCCCCCTTAAACTGAAGCAATAGTTTTTAAAGATCTGAATTCTGTTGTATAGGTTGTTTTCAACAGCCTTAGCTAGGTTACTTGGTCAGCTTACGAAAGACCTCCGATACCCCCTATGATGCGCTTGGTAACTAGGTAGCTTAGTGGGGACCTCATTAACTAACGTAGTTAATCTATCAGATTTCTGATCTCTTCTTCCTAGCACCTTCTGAGGTGAGCTTGCCGACTCGACAGCCCTATTCGCAATGTGAATTGCTGCTAGCGACCTCTAATGGTTCCAAACGGGGTGAGCTCTCGGAAAAATCATGTAGTTTTGTACATAAAGAAGGCAAAAACCGTACAACTTATTTTGCTAAAATCTTGAAGTCAAAGTTTACTTGTACGGTCATATTTGATAAGGATGTATTCAGTAATTATAATTTTATACATGATGATTCATGTAACCACAAAAATGCCTGCAGGGCTTTAAACTGATATGCATTGCGCTTGCGCGGCAGATGACTAAGAGAATACAACGTGTTATTTTACTTGTTCTACTATGTATACCATAATCACTCACAACATTGCTGTTATTTTCGAAAATATTTTTATCAAACATAGTCATATGGATTCCATATTTCATAATCTACAACTTTTACGCATGTAACAGATCAAAATAGTATCAAGTTTTAAGAGTCAAGAGAAAAACAGTAATCGTACATAGAATTTAGTGCTTTAGTGTTCCGAGAGCTAACAATATTTTCGCCACCATGGGCGCTTCAATCGATTTTCTTATCCCCTCAAAACCAACTCACGTAGCGAATAGGGATTATATGGACGTGGCTCGATAGTTAGGTCATCTATACTATATATATTCTTGGTCTAGTTAATTTAGTTTTCCTTGCAAGATGTCCTTAATTTTACTCTACTATTTGAAAAGGTAAGAAAAATAGTTAGTAAAAATCACGTCCGTAATTTTTTAGTTTAAGTATATTCTGTTTAGGAATAATAAAGAACATTTGCTCTGAAAATGATTCAAAGGCAATAATTAAACTTTTGACTCGACTGATGTAAATAGTTTATCAGATTGTTGCGTCGTCGTCAGTCAAAAAAAAAAAAAAAAAAAAAAAAATCATGAAATAAGGCATAACTGCATGAGTCCAATAGGTACCTAAAGACATTTAAAAAATAAGACAAAACATAACAATACCACGTCACCACGGCTGTATATATTGGCTATCTCGCGGGAAAATGTTACAATCCTTAAGGTGGAAATCTAGTTCATATTTTTTTTATATTGAAAAAGATGTTGATCGGAAAAATTATATGAGCTAATCTTTTCTCATGTAATAAAAGTTAAGTTGCTATTTTTGAACTTTGATTAAATTGTCTATTAAAGCCAAAACTAACTAACATCGTTTTGACGGTACAAAGTACAATCAACACTACATTTTAATTGAGCTGTTTGTGTCTGCTGCTGATGCTGCTATTATGCCTGCTCAGAGGTAAACAAACAGCTCGATGTAAGGTTAACTGTACTTCGTACTTTCAAATGCTGTTTTCGGCCTTAATAAACGATTTAATCAAAGTAAAAAAAAGCAGTTTTACTGTTACTAGTTATTTTATACGCTCTTCGCACACTTTGACTTTTTGTGGCTACTTTTATACTCACTTTTACTACACAATTTCGCTCTTCTTCTAATCTCAATTAACGTATACATCTACTTTTTAAATCTTACATTTGTAAACATTTAGATTGCTAATAATTACACAAATCTTTTTTTTTAAGACTATTAGTTTAAATACCGCATATAACCATATAAATGATTAAGTAATAAATTAAAAATATTCTTTCCATTAAAAATTTATGATGCATCATATGATCAATGTAATAGATTTTAAAAATTATGTGTAATTTTATTTGGTTTTAATTTCAATCCAACCAAGTTTTTCTAAAAAATATTGTTTTTTTAAGTACAAACAATTTACGTAAAGTTGTTCTGGATTATATTTGTATCACAAAATTATTTTATTTTCATTTTTTCAGCAATTAAATGCAATTGATTTTTGAAGAATCCTGCCAAACAAGACACTCGACCTGTTTAAACCAATCTCACAACGAATAAAAAAGCTTCATTTGCGAGACAATCATTAAGTTAGGAGATTATGTTCAAAAAATTAATGAAAATAACTTTGTACATTCATCATCTTTTTCACTACAAAAAGAAATATATGAACTAGATTTCTTCCGTAAGGCCTGTAGCATTTTTCCGCGATATAGCTATATATGTATAAAAGGTGACTTATGCGGACAATTACATGCATGAGGGCGGGGGGTAATTATGATGACAGTAAAAGAGTTATGCAGACGTCCGCATAATAGTCCATGGCCCGAAGGATTTTTCAATCTTATGGTTTCCAGTAGAGAAAAAATTGGTCATTTCCTTGCAGAACTTTCCTAGGAACTTATTATAAAAAAATTAACGTACAAAAAACTATTAATTATTTTGTAACTTTA